ATCCGTACCTTTGTAACCATGTTAGGATTTGTCATAGCTACGTTTCTTTGTTCAGTCCAGCGAGTGTCAGTAGCATGCTGATATAATAATTAGAACCTCATTCTCTGGGCGGTAATAGTAGGTAGGTAGAGAGAAACCATCGTAGGAGATGCTACCGTCCAGTTAGGTAAGTGTGAAATGGAGACATGTTTTTTTCACTCTGGGAGGCTTGCGGAGGTTCTCCTGTCTTATAAACATGTAATACGACGGGTAAATCTTATAAATTCCTACTTACATTCAGTGTACATATCTTTATCTTTTTTTGTGCTTCTTAATGGGTCTTAATCAATCAATATTTCCTTTCCAACCTGGGGTGGTCTGAGACCGGGGCTTGGAAAAGATTATCCCAAGAACTACATTATTTTTCTAGCCTATCAGACCTGGTCGGAGACTGAGTCGTGGGGACGATATTTCTCAGAACCACTGACAAAGACCTAGTTGAGTTGAAGGATTCATGTCAACTACCATAGTTCTTGAAGATTGAGACACTTATGCAGCATATGGAAATCTTTATTCAGGAAACGTTTCGCCACACAGTGGCTTCATCAGTCCAATACAAAGAGGAAGGCGTAAGGAGAGGAGGAGAATGAGGTAATCAGTCCCTCAACCTGGAGTCGATGTGTTCAGTCCATCAATCTTGTAGAATGTACAGCATAGGGCCGTAGACGTGGCTTATATACTGTAGTGAGGTGACGTGAAGCAGATGGAGGCGGGGTCATAGTGGTACCATCCACTAGTCGAAGTAGGTCTTCGTCCAAAGGTTGAACAAGTGTTGAAGAATTCTTTGTAACAAGATCCCATGATGCTGCAGTGTCTGACAGTTGTGATGAATGGTTGGGTCAGGGTTAATGTTGTCAGCTGCTGACTAAGTAAACACAAATGTTGTCAGCTGCTGACAAAGTGAAGACAAATGTTGTCAGCTGCTGACAAAGTGAAGACAAATGTTGTCAGCTGCTGACAAAGTGAAGACAAATGTTGTCAGCTGCTGACAAAGTGAAGAAAAATGTTGTCAGTTGCTGATAAAGTGAAGACAAATGTTGTCAGCTGCTGATAAAGTGAAGACAAATGTTGTCAGCTGCTGATAAAGTGAAGACATATGTCAGCTGCTGACAAAGTGAAGACAACATACAGAGAAGAATGACTAAAATGATTTACTGTGTAAGGAACCTCCCGTATGAAGATAGACTCAAAGCCTTAAATCTCCACTCTGGAGAGGCGTAGAATGAGGGGAGATATCATTGAAGTGTACAAGTGGATGACGGGCATAAACAAGGGAGATATTAATAAAGTACTGAGGGTGTCGAACCAGGTAAGAACCAGTTGGATAAATTTAGATTTAGAAAGGACATAGGTAAGTACTGGTTTTCTAACAGAGTTGTAGATGCGTGGAACAGTCTTCCCAGTGGGATGATAGAGGCTAGGACCTTGGGTAGCTTTAAGAAGAGACTGGACAAATATATGAGTGGGAGGGGCTGGGTTTGATTGGTGTCATTGGGTACGGGAGTTATTTTCAGGGAAGCTTTAGGTAGTAGTCGTTTTGATAAGGACCTGCCTCGTATGGGCCAGTAGGCCTTCTTCAGAGTTCCTCCATTCTTATGTTCTTATGTTCTTAAATGTTGTCAGCTGCTGACAAAGTGAAGACAAATGTTGTCAGCTGCTGATAAAGTTGTGTACGAATGTTATATAATACCGACAAGATGAGAGTAAGACACATGTGCAACATCTGGGTATCTTTATTGTAGACGTTTCGCCATCCAGTGGCTTTATCAATACAAATTCTAGGACATAACTTGAAGACAGTAGAACTATGTACAGAAGATGAGGTAATCAGTCCCTCAACCTAGGAGTAGGTGCGAACAGCACCATAGTCGTGGAGATTCTGAAGCAGAAGAAAGAATCCTGGCGCTTATATAGTAACGTCAGGTGAAGCAGACGAGGGCAAATTCACTGGTAGGCGGGATTCCCCAGTGGAAGTAGGTCCTTCCCAAAGAGATGGGTTAGTTGTAGTAGTAGTTGTCGTAGTCGTGAAGGTTATGTACATGTCCTCAGAATTAAGATTCCATGATGTTGCAGTGTCTGACAAGTTGTGTACGAATGGTATATAATACCGACAAGATGAGAGTAAGACACATGTGCAACATCTGGGTATCTTTATTGTAGACGTTTCGCCATCCAGTGGCTTTATCAATACAAATTCTAGTTCTACTGTCTTCAAGTTATGTCCTAGAATTTGTATTGATAAAGCCACTAGATGGCGAAACGTCTACAATAAAGATACCCAGATGTTGCACATGTGTCTTACTCTCATGCTGATAAAGTGAAGACAAATGCTGTCAGCTGCTGACGAAGTAAACCCACAAATGTTTACAACTAACCAATAATAATAACATTTATTTCTACAAGTACATAAGCAAGGTATACAGTCCTAGCTGACGTCAATAACATACTACTATATATAAAGCCCCTTGTTATGCAGAGTATTTCGGGCAAATTAGGTCAGTTTTATGCCCAGGATACGACCCACACCAGTAGACTAAGACCCAGGTACCTATCTACTGTTAGGTGAACAGGGACAGCAGGTGTCTTATGGAAATACACCCTAAAGTTTCTACCCGTACCGGGGATAGAATCCCCGGGTCTGAGAGGTTTGGTATAAACCTTGGTAATAAATACCGACAAGTTGGTTTAGAAAGACACGTAAGCAAACACTATAACATATTTATTAGAAAACGTTTCGGTCCTGGGACCTTGATCAAGGTCCCAGGACCGAAACGTTTCCTGAGTGGTTTACATAGTAACATATGTGTGAATGCCTAGTACAGCCCACCGTTCAAACACTTTCTAAGTAGCCAATGTTCTATAAACATGCCTAGCAAACACTCACAAGTGAATAGCACAAGTTAGAGAAGAAGACTACATATACTGATAACACTGAAAGATTTATTACTAAGGACAAAAATATTTCACATCCCTTTTGGTCATTTGTATTCTTAATTTCGGGATTAGTAACCCAGGATAACCCTAAATAAAGTCAGGATGTCAACAGACTTTTATTTCTATTGGTTTTTTTTAATCCTCTTCCCCAGGATGCAACCCACCAGAGTAGCCTAACACCCAGGTACCTAGGTACTGCTAGGTGAACACGGCCAGTAGGTGCAAGGAAATGTACCCAACGCTCCCACTAGTCCGAAGATCGAACCTCGGTCTCTCAGTGTGTGAGCTGAGGACGCTACCTGGAGAGAGTTCCAAGTGAGCCTGGGTATGGGGTACATAATAAAACTACAAACTCCTTTAATGGGGTAACAATGTAAACAAAATGACTGTTGTGTTGTCTACGGAGGGTCTAATGTTGTTTATCTTCATGTGTGAGATGAAGATATCGTGTGTTCTTTGTATTCTTTATCATGTGAACTGCCATCTGCCCACCATTATCGTCTACTAACATCACCACCACTACTACTAGCTCCACCACAACACTACCACAGGCAATAATACGACTGCCATCGCTACCACCACCGTTAACACTACCACCACTATCATTGCTACAACCACCATCACCACCACCACTACCACTAGCACCACCGTTACACTACCATCACTGAACATTAAAATGGTATAAAATACCGACAGATTGTTAGGTAAGACACATATGCAACAGTTAGGTATCTTTATTTCGAAACGTTTCGCCTACACAGTAGGCTTCTTCAGTCGAGTACAGAAAAGTTGATAGAAGCAGAAGATACTTGAAGACGATGTAATCAGTCCATCACCCTTAAAGTTTTGAGGTGGTCAGTCCCTCAGTCTGGAGAAGAGCATTGTTCCGTTGTCTGACAACGGAACAATGCTCTTCTCCAGACTGAGGGACTGACCACCTCAAAACTTTAAGGGTGATGGACTGATTACATCGTCTTCAAGTATCTTCTGCTTCTATCAACTTTTCTGTACTCGACTGAAGAAGCCTACTGTGTAGGCGAAACGTTTCGAAATAAAGATACCTAACTGTTGCATATGTGTCTTACCTAACACTACCATCACTGTTACCAGCACTATCATTACTACGACCACCAACACCATCACCACGACTGTCACCATCATCACTGTCACCACCACTGTCACCACCATCACCACCACTGTCACCACCATCACAATCACTGTCACCACCATCACCAAGACAACCAACACAGCTAGACAATCAGGAGCGACTCGAAAGAGATGATAACTCCAATTACTTGGAACAAAAGCCATTCACCAGCATCGATGCACCTTCCTGGTACCTTCCACAAGGTACCAGGAAGGTACCTTGTCGAAGTAAGGTTTCGCTTAGTACTCTGAATGGATGTATTGACTTCGACTCTGTCGAAGACTTTATCGTACTTCATACACTATTTAACCTTTTATTATTCTTAAATGTAAAGTATACACCATTATGTCAAGCCAGCTATTTAATGAATCATGGTGAATGTCAGATAAGATAGGATTTTGTTCGGATTTTCAACCCCGGAGGGTTAGCCGCCAAGGATAATGCAAGAAAGTCAGTGAATCATCAAGGAACTGTCGGTCTTATTGCCATTGGGGTCCTCAATCTTGTCTCCCAGGATGCGACCCACATCAGTCGACTAACACCCAAGTACTTACTTGCTAGGTGAACGGGACAACAGGTGTAAGGAAACAGGCCCAATGTTTCCACCCTTTGCCGGGGACCGAACCATGGACACTCAGCGTGTGAAGCGTTGCCTACCAGGCCACGGGTCTTTTTGTCTTTTTTAAGGAATTACTTCATAGCGGTGAAGTCATCCCCTGAAAAAAAGGGAAAATGAATTCGCAGGTCACGGTATGCCAGGAAGTAAAAAAAAATGATAATGGGGACATAATCAATATAAGCGTGGAAGATAGGTATTAATAAAGGGGATATTAATAAGGTCTTGAGGATGTCTCTCCAAGAGAGAACCCGCAGTAATGGATTTAAATTAGATAAGTTTAGATTTAGAAAGCACATAGGAAAGTATTGGTTTGGAAATAGGGTAGTTGATGAGTGGAACAGTCTACCTAGTTGGGTTATTGAGGCTGGGACTTTGGGTAGTTTCAAATTTAGGTTGGATAAGTACATGAGTGGGAGGGTTTGGATTTGAGTGGGACTTTCACATCAGAGCTTATTTCTTGGGTGGCATTGAAAATTGGGTTGGGCAAATGTTTTGTTAGTGGGATGAATTGTAAAGGACCTGCCTAGTATGGGCCAACAGGCCTGCTGCAGTGTTCCTCCTTTCTTATGTTCTTATGTTCTTATGTCATTGTTGATACACAAATAACCCGCACATAAAAGACAGAAGCTTACGACGACGTTTCGGTCCGACTTGGACCAATGACAAAGTCATTGTCCAAGTCGGACCGAAACGTCGTCGTAAGCTTCTGTCTTTTATGTGCGGGTTATTTGTGTATCGTTCCAGTCACGGTATTGTGCCTTTTTTGTTATTTAGTCATTGTTGATATTTGGCACAGTGGTACCAGTAGACTACTTTTTGTAGGTAAGCCTTCAATGAAATCTAAAGGAGTAGTGATATAACTTACGAAGCCATGATGTTAGGACTGTAGAGCCCCGCATATACCGGACCTCTCTTCGGTGTTCCACATTTTCATTGGCTTTCAACTGAGACATTGTTCCACCCGCCGGCGGGTGGAAGGTAATGAACTATGGCTCAATTTGAAACCAATAAAAACGTAGAACAGAAAGAAGGTGATATACGTATGGGGGCCCTCGTGTAGTTACATTTTGCGTGCTGTGAGTAAGGTATGGTCGTGTCTCATGTGCTCCGCTCCGTCTATCAGTGCACTCACAGGCAGCACAGCTACAAGTATACATAACATACACTGAGTCATAACAAATTATGCTCCGGAAGCTGCTTTTCCCCTAGCAGAATCATTGAAAAAAATCAAATAAAAAAAATCAAGATCCAAATGTTTATTTCTTTGCGTAGTATACAAATTACAATGTACATGTAATAAAGTATTGTTAAACACAAGGAAAGTCACTAACAGAAGTGAGCATATCAGACAGAATAGAGAGAAAGAAGAAATCGTAAACATTTACCACCAATATTTATGTCATTACATTGGCCAACACCTAATTACGGATTAATGATATTATACCGATTTTAGAGTAAGTTTGTGGTGGAAATAAATGGTATAAAATACCGACACAAAATACTGCATTTGTGTTTATATTTCCAAGTTTGTGGTGCTGGTTCCGAATATGTCATCGGTTTTGCTTGATTTGGTCTCGTTTTTTGAGAAATTTCGTATCCCATTGAAAAAAGCAAAAGATGTGAGAAATGTATTGATCAGGCGGGGCTAACTTACAAATAACAGTGAAATTATTTTTTAAGATCAAGGGATCAAGAAGTTTACTATCATCAGATCAACACAAATAGACATCTTGTGCTCATGATTGCAAAGCTTCTGCAAGACTATTATGATATTTTCGTATTCTTCTTTAAGATTTGTTTAGTGAGCAACTGGAAGAGATTCATATTGGTTATCATTGTGCAGTAAGACACATTTCAAGCTTCTAGTGGAGCTGTCTATAAACAGCCGCCAATCTCCTAGTCTATATCCATGTCCCATTCGAAAAAGTCCAGGGATGTTATTGGATTATACAAGTTTTTCATCATGGCTGAAATAAGGAAGGAGTTCAACCTCTCTTGTCCGATAAGCTGTTATTTTAACTTCTTGTTGTAGACAGTTCTTTTAGTGTGGCTGCTAAAAGTTCAGATGCTTGCTTGACAGACTGAGGTCACGTATCAGATCATTGAGTTCTTGGGAGAACTGCTGGGGAGTTGAAATGCTTACATCATATTCACTTCCACTGTTATCACCTGTGTTACATCCTAAACCCTGAATTTCTTCAATATCTGACAGCAGAAGGTCAGGCAGTGGTATTGTAAACACTGGTATGGGAACATCTTCACTGTGTGGTACAGATCTTCCTGATTCCAAATTCAGGATATTCTCACTTGACTTTCTTGCATAGTGAAATCTTTCAAATTCACCATACAGAAATAACAATCATCGTGGTGGACTTTTTGGTTCTCCCCTCATGGAAAGTTCCTTGATGTTGGTGAGGGGCTCTTGATTTAGGGAATTGAATCTGTGCTCCAGTTCCCCGAATTAAGCCTGAATGCCTTCCACATCCCCCCCCTGGGCGCTGCATAATCCTACGGGTTTAGCGCTTCCCCCTTGATTATAATAATAATAATAATCTACACAATAGGCACACCCAAGTTTAAACTTTTCCTTTGCCTATTTTTACACTTGTAAGTATTCCAAACAGGTTTTGCAAACTATATGAGGAGTCCAAGACTTGTCTTGTCCTCCAAGCCCCACTCCAAAATAAGCAAGATAACATTGTTCTACAAAATCTGTCATTTTGTTTTTTGTTTTTGCAAAGAGTATTTGCCACAAATACAGAAAAATGCATTGGAATTGCTTAAGCAGACTCTTCGTGAAGAACTCTTGCTTATCTGGAAAAAATAACAAAATAAAGAGTACAATATTCTCAGGTGGTCGTTGTTGATACAACTCCTTTCGTTAAATATTAAATAATTTAAAAATAAAATTGCAATTTTTATTAAAACTCTCTATATACAAATTATCACTACATGTACGCGCGTTATGGTTAAGTTCTCTCTTAATTCAGGGTAGGTATGCAATATCTCCCAAACTAAAGCCAATTTGCAAAACCTACTGCCATTTTCGAATTCAGCAACTCCAAAATACCCTAATTACGTTCATATATCTTTGGCAACGATATTTTTTGTTGTTCCCGAGTCTTATCAGTTACGATAAGTGAAGGGAACGGCGCTAGTTCCTTAGATACCCGTAGGTTGAGGAAAGATTAAGGGGAGGCGAGTGAGGGATATCAGTGTGGCAGCATTTGTGTGATACTGCACGCTTGTCCCTTGCAAGGACACACCGCGTCTTGAAGGTGGAACACCAATGAATACCTGGAGAGGATTTCGGTGGTCAACCAATAGACCCCTGGCTGTCTTCAAGAAGGCACTGGACAGGCACCTAAAGTCAATACCTAACCAGCCGGGCTGTGGTTCGTACGTCAGTTTGCATGCGGCCAGCAGTAACAGCGTTGTTGATCAGACCCTGGTTCACAACGAGACCTGGTCTCAGACCGAGCCGCAGGGGTGTTGACCCCCGAAACCTTCTCCAGGTATCTCCAGGTATACTGACGCGCACAGTTCTTCCACAGTGGCAGAGTGGTGGCATCTTGGAGAAGTCTGGACAGCAGCATCACTGAGCGAGAGTCAACATCACAGATATATTACACTCTACAGCCACATCTAACTCGACCCTCCCAAGTATCAATACTAGCAAACTAAATCTTAATTAAATCACAACGAAGTCAAGTCGTGATGGGGTGGCAAACGACTTTACGGATGACCCATAATGTAGGTAAGTCCCACTGATTGACTTTACCTCTCTCAGAAAATATAATAATAATAATAATCTTTATTTCTACAAGTACATGTACAAGGTATACAATCCATAGCTGACATCAATGACATACTACTATATAGAAAGCCACTTGTTATGCTGAGGATTTCGTGAAAATTAGGTTAATTTTGTCCCCAGAATGCGACCCACACCAGTCGACTAACACCCAAGTACCTAATTCACTGATAGGTGAACAGGGACAGCAGGTGTCTTTAGGAAACGTCCTAATGTTTTCACCCGTACCAGAGATCGACCTCCAGACCTCAGTGTGCGAGTTGAGTTCCTTACCAATCGAGCTACGGGACACTTATCAAAATTAAATCTAAATACGTATCTATATTATTCCTACACACTCACACGTATGCTTATAATACTAATATCAATACATAGAATGTTAGACAGAGGTATGGGTAATAGACATTAAAATGAGTTCTGTGTTGTAAATAACTATCACACATGACTGCGATATCCATAAATAAAATTAATACAGTAATCACGTCATTATGACAGTGTATAGTAGTGATATTACCTACTACTACGACTACTAGTACTACTACTACTATTACTACAACTGCTACTATTACTACAAATACTAGAACTACTACTACTACTACTACTGCTTCCACTCCCTTGTTTCATCTCCTTCCTCCCGACCTGTCTTGCGGTGCCCCGTGGCCTGGTGGCAAGAATTCTCGCTTCACACGGTGAGGGTCCGGGTTCGATTCCCGGCGAGGGTAGAAGCATTGGACGTATTCCTTACACCGGTTGTCAATGTTCACCCATCAGTGAAGTGGGTACCTGGGTGTTAGTGGACTGGTGTGGGTCGCATCCTGGGGACAAAACTGACCTAATTTGCCCGAAATGCTCAACATAACAAGCGGCTTCCTATATAGTAGTATGTCATTGATGTCAGCTATGGTCTGTATACCTTGTACATGTAAATAAAATTATTATTATTATTATTATTATTATTATTATTATTATTATTCGCCCAGTTGTGACTCAACAAGCGACCACTGATAGAAACGTTGCCATTCATTTAATGGCTGGGAGACCATAACAATCAGAATTTTGGTACAAATGTAAGGCCTAAACGCGCAATATATAGAATTTTGATGACCGAAACACCGAACCTCCATTAAAGTTTCCGAGTCACAACAACTTAAGACTATTTTTTAATGGATCTTGCAGAACTTGATTTAAATGAGTTATTAAAGAAACGAATCTTTATGTAATCCAGTCCAAGTTATTCTTATGTAATCCAGTCCAAGTTATTCTTATATAATCCAGTCCAAGTTTTTCTTATGTAATCCAGTCCAAGTTATTCTTATGTAATCCAGATCAAGTTATTCTTATGTAATCCAGATCAAGTTATTCTTATGTAATCCAGATCAAGTTATTCTTATGTAATCCAGTCCAAGTTATTCTTATGTAATCCAGTCCAAGTTATTCTTATGTAATCCAGTCCAAGTTATTCTTATGTAATCCAGTCCAAGTTATTCTTATGTAATCCAGTCCAAGTTATTCTTATGTAATCCAGTCCAAGTTATTCTTATGTAATCCAGTCCAAGTTATTCTTATGTAATCCAGATCAAGTTATTCTTATGTAATCCAGTCCAAGTTATTCTTATGTAATCCAGATCAAGTTATTCTTATGTAATCCAGTCAAGTTATTCTTATGTAATCCAGTCCAAGTTATTCTTATGTAATCCAGATCAAGTTATTCTTATGTAATCCAGTCCAAGTTATTCTTATGTAATCCAGTCCAAGTTATTCTTATGTAATCCAGATCAAGTTATTCTTATGTAATCCAGATCAAGTTATTCTTATGTAATCCAGTCCAAGTTATTCTTATGTAATCCAGTCCAAGTTATTCTTATGTAATCCAGTCCAAGTTATTCTTATGTAATCCAGATCAAGTTATTCTTATGTAATCCAGATCAAGTTATTCTTATGTAATCCAGTCCAAGTTATTCCTATGTAATCCAGTCCAAGTTATTCTTATGTAATCCAGATCAAGTTATTCTTATGTAATCCAGATCAAGTTATTCTTATGTAATCCAGTCCAAGTTATTCTTATGTAATCCAGTCCAAGTTATTCTTATGTAATCCAGTCCAAGTTATTCTTATGTAATCCAGTCCAAGTTATTCTTATGTAATCCAGTCCAAGTTATTCTTATGTAATCCAGATCAAGTTATTCTTATGTAATCCAGTCCAAGTTATTCTTATGTAATCCAGTCCAAGTTATTCTTGTGTAATCCAGTCCAAGTTATTCTTATGTAATCCAGATCAAGTTATTCTTATGTAATCCAGATCAAGTTATTCTTATGTAATCCAGTCCAAGTTATTCTTATGTAATCCAGTCCAAGTTATTCTTATGTAATCCAGATCAAGTTATTCTTATGTAATCCAGATCAAGTTATTCTTATGTAATCCAGTCCAAGTTATTCTTATGTAATCCAGTCCAAGTTATTCTTATGTAATCCAGTCCAAGTTATTCTTATGTAATCCAGTCCAAGTTATTCTTATGTAATCCAGTCCAAGTTATTCTTATGTAATCCAGTCCAAGTTATTCTTATGTAATCCAGTCCAAGTTATTCTTATGTAATCCAGATCAAGTTATTCTTATGTAATCCAGTCCAAGTTATTCTTATGTAATCCAGTCCAAGTTATTCTTATGTAATCCAGTCCAAGTTATTCTTATGTAATCCAGTCCAAGTTATTCTTATGTAATCCAGTCCAAGTTATTCTTATGTAATCCAGATCAAGTTATTCTTATGTAATCCAGTCCAAGTTATTCTTATGTAATCCAGTCCAAGTTATTCTTATGTAATCCAGTCCAAGTTATTCTTATGTAATCCAGTCCAAGTTATTCTTATGTAATCCAGTCCAAGTTATTCTTATGTAGTCCAGTCCAAGTTATTCTTATGTAGTCCAGTCCAAGTTATTCTTATATAGTCCAGTCCAAGCTATTCTTATGTAGTCCAGTCCAAGTTATTCTTATATAGTCCAGTCCAAGCTATTCTTATGTAGTCCAGTCCAAGTTATTCTTATATAGTCCAGTCCAAGCTATTCTTATGTAGTCCAGTCCAAGTTATTCTTATATAGTCCAGTCCAAGCTATTCTTATGTAGTCCAGTCCAAGTTATTCTTATATAGTCCAGTCCAAGCTATTCTTATGTAGTCCAGTCCAAGTTATTCTTATATAGTCCAGTCCAAGCTATTCTTATGTAGTCCAGTCCAAGTTATTCTTATATAGTCCAGTCCAAGTTATTCTTATGTAGTCCAGTCCAAGTTATTCTTATATAGTCCAGTCCAAGTTATTCTTATGTAGTCCAGTCCAAGTTATTCTTATATAGTCCAGTCCAAGCTATTCTTATGTAGTCCAGTCCAAGTTATTCTTATATAGTCCAGTCCAAGTTATTCTTATGTAGTCCAGTCCAAGTTATTCTTATATAGTCCAGTCCAAGTTATTTCTTATATAGTCCAGTCCAAGTTATTCTTATGTAGTCCTGTCCAAGTTATTCTTATGTAATCCAGTCTAAGTTATTCTTATGTAGTCCAGTCCAAGTTATTCTTATATAGTCCAGTCCAAGTTATTCTTATATAGTCCAGTCCAAGTTATTCTTATGTAGTCCAGTCCAAGTTATTCTTATATAGTCCAGTCCAAGTTATTCTTATGTAGTCCAGTCCAAGTTATTCTTATGTAGTCCAGTCCAAGTTATTCTTATGTAGTCCAGTCCAAGTTATTCTTATGTAGTCCAGTCCAAGTTATTCTTATGTAGTCCAGTCTAATGAAGTTGATAGTGTTTCAACCCAAGACACCAACAACTGGTATAATATTTTTCAGTGTTAGACTTAATCATCTCTCTGGTGTTTGACGTTGCAGGCATCATTTACACTTATCTTTTGTTTTAATGGTTATGTGTAATTTTGTTGGCAGGGTTAGTGATGGTGTTGGTGGTGCTGGTTGCTGCAGTCTACACTCATGAAGTGGACGCAAGAAGCAGTCTTTGTATTAAACCTAAAATGGATTGTGGTGAGTTGGAGTGTGTACTTACCTAGTTGTGGTTGTGGGGCGTCGATTCAAAGCTCCTGGCCCCGCCTCTTCAACTGGCCGCTACCCGGTCACTCTTCCCGCTCCGTGAGGTTAATTATACCTCTTCTTAAAGTTATGTTTGGATCCTGCTTCCACTACATCACTACCCAGGCTATTCCACTTCCTGACAACTCTGTGACTGAAGAAATATTTCCTAACATCCTTGTGGTTCATCTGAGTCTTCAGCTTCCAACTGTGACCCCTTGTTACTATGTCCCATCTCTGGAACATCCTGTCTCTGTTCACCTTGTCTATACCTCTCAGAATTTTATATGTCGTTATCATATCCCCCCGAACTCTCCTGTCTTCCATTGTCGTCAGGTCGATTTCCCTTAACCTCTTCTCGTAGGACATACCTCTTAGCTCCGGGACTAGTCTTGTTGCAAACCTTTGTACTTTCTCTATTTTCTTTACGTGCTTGGCTAGGTGTGGGTTTCAAACTGGCGCTGCATATTCCAATATGGGACTAACGTACACGGTGTACAGGGTCCTGAACGACTCCTTATTAAAATGTCGGAATGCTGTTCTGAGGTTTCCCAGGCGCCCATATGCTGCAGCAGTTATTTGGTTGATGTGCACTTCAGGAGATGTGTCTGGTGTTATACTCACCCCAAGATCCTTTACCTTGAGTGAGGTTTGTGTGCGTGTGTGTGTGTGTGTGTGTGTGTGTGTGTGTGTGTGTGTGTGTGTGTGTGTGTGTGTGTGTGTGTGTGTGTGTGTGTGTACGTGTGTGTGTGTGTGTGTTTGTGTGTGTGTGTGTGTGTGTGTGTGTGTGTGTGTGTGTGTGTACTCACCTAGTTGTACTCACCTAGTTGAGGTTGCAGGGGTCGAGTCCAAGCTCCTGGCCCCGCCTCTTCACTGGTCGCTACTAGGTCACTCTCCCTGAACCATGAGCTTTATCGTACCTCTGCTTAAAGCTATGTATGGATCCTGACTCCACTACATCGCTTCCCAAACTATTCCACTTCCTGACTACTCTGTGGCTGAAGAAATACTTCCTAACATCCCTTTGATTCATCTGTGTCTTCAACTTCCAACTGTGTCCCCTTGTTACTGTGTCCAGTCTCTGGAACATCCTGTCTTTGTTCACCTTGTCAATTCCTCTCAGTATTTTGTAAGTCGTTATCATGTCCCCCTTATCTCTCCTGTCCTCCAGTGTCGTCAGGTTGATTTCCCTTAACCTCTCCTCATAGGACATACCTCTTAGCTCTGGGACTAGTCTTGTTGCAAACCTTTTCACTTTCTCTAGTTTCTTTACATGCTTGGCTAGGTGTGGGTTCCAAACTGGTGCCGCATACTCCAATATGGGCCTAACGTACACGGTGTATAGGGTCCTGAACGATTCCTTATTAAGATGTCGGAATGCTGTTCTGAGGTTTGCCAGGCGCCCATATGCTGCAGCAGTTATTTGGTTGATGTGCGCTTCAGGAGATGTGCCTGGTGTTATACTCACCCCAAGATCTTTTTCCTTGAGTGATGTTTGTAGTCTCTGACCCCCTAGACTGTACTCCATCTGCAGTCTTCTTTGCCCTTCCCCAATCCTCATGACTTTGCACTTGGTGGGATTGAACTCCAGGAGCCAGTTGCTGGACCAGATCTGCAGCCTGTCCAGATCCCTTTGTATTTCTGCCTGGTCTTCGATCGAATGAACTCTTCTCATCAACTTCACGTCATCTGCAAACAGTGACACCTCGGAGTTTATTCCTTCCGTCATGTCGTTCACAAATACCAGAAACAGCACTGGTCCTAGGACTGACCCCTGTGGGACCCCACTGGTCACAGGTGCCCACTCTGACACCTCGCCTCGTACCATTACTCGCTGCTGTCTTCCTGACAAGTATTCCCTGATCCATTGCAGTGCCTTCCCTGTTATTCCTGCTTGGTCCTCCAGTTTTTGCACTAATCTCTTGTGTGGTACTGTGTCAAACGCCTTCTTGCAGTCTAAGAAAATACAATCCACCCACCCCTCTCTCTCTTCTCTTACTGCTGTCACCATGTCATAGAACTCCAGTAGGTTTGTGACACAGGATTTCCCGTCTCTGAAACCATGTTGTCTGCTGGTGATGAGATCATTCCTTTCTAGATGTTCCACCATTCTTCTCCTGACAATCTTTTCCATGATTTTGCATGCTATACATGTCAGTGACACTGGTCTGTAGTTTAGTGCTTCATGTCTGTCTCCTTTTTTAAAGATTGGTACCACATTTGCTGTCTTCCATGCCTCAGGCAATCTCCCTGTTTCGATAGATGTATTGAATATTGTTGTTAGGGGTACACATAGCGCCTCTGCTCCCTCTCTCAGGACCCATGGAGAGATGTTATCTGGCCCCATTGCCTTTGAAGTATCTAGCTCACTCAGAAGCCTCTTCACTTCTTCCTCGGTTGTGTGTACTGTGTCCAGCACATGGTGTGTGTATGTGTGTGTGTGTGTGTGTGTGTGTACTCACCTATTTGTACTCACCTATTTGTGGTTGCAGGGGTCGAGTCCTAGCTCCTGGCCCCGCCTCTTCACCGGTTGCTACTAGGCCCTCTCTCTCCCCGCTCCATGAGCTTTATCAAACCTCGTCTTAAAACTGTGTATGGTTCCTGCCTCCACTACGTCATTTTCTAGGCTATTCCACTGCCTTACAACTCTATGACTGAAGAAATACTTCCTACTATCTCTCTGACTCATTTGTGTCTTCAACTTCCAATTGTGGCCTCTTGTTTCTGTGTCCCCTCCCTGGAACATCCTGTCTTTGTCCACCTTGTCTATTCCACGCAGTATTTTATATGTCGTTATCATGTCTCCCCTGACCCTCCTGTCCTCCAGTGTCGTCAGGCCGATTTCCCTTAATCTTTCTTCATAGGACATTCCCCTTAGCTCTGGAACTAACCTTGTCGCAAACCTTTGTACTTTCTCTAGTTTCTTGACGTGCTTTATCAAGTGCGGGTTCCAAACAGGTGCTGCATACTCCAGTATGGGCCTGACATACACGGTGTACAGTGTCTTGAATGATTCCTTACTAAGGTATCGGAATGCTGTTCTCAGGTTTGCCAGGCGCCCATATGCTGCAGCAGTTATCTGATTGATGTGTGCTTCCGGAGACATGCTCGGTGTTATACTCACCCCAAGATCTTTCTCCTTGAGTGAGGTTTGCAGTCTTTGGCCACCTAGCCTATACTCTGTCTGTGGTCTTCTGTGCCCTTCCCCTATCTTCATGACTTTGCATTTGGCAGGATTAAATTCGAGAAGCCATTTGCTGGACCAGGTGTCCAGTCTGTCCAGGTCTCTTTGAAGTCCTGCCTGGTCCTCTTCAGATTTAATTCTCCTCATTAACTTCACATCATCTGCAAACAGGGACACTTCTGAGTCTAACCCTTCCATCATGTCGTTCACATATACCAAAAATAGCACTGGTCCTAGGACCGACCCCTGTGGGACCCCGCTCGTCACAGGTGCCCACTGTGATACATCATTACGTACCATGACTCGTTGTTGCCTCCCTGTGTGTGTGTGTGTGTGTGTGTGTGTGTGTGTGTGTGTGTGTGTGTGTGTGTGTGTGTGTGTGTGTGTGTGTGTGTGTGTGTGTGCACTCACCTATTTGTGGTTGCAGGGGTCGAGACAGACATTTTTTATTTCATTCAAGGTGTGTTAGGATCGAGTGGAGACGAATGGTTTTCATGACCTGACGTGCTGTTGGAGTGTGAGCAAAGTAACATTTATGAAGGGGTTCAGGGAAACCGGCAGGCCGGACTTGAGTCCTGGAGATGGGAAGTACAGTGCCTGCACTCTGAAGGAGGGGTGTTAATATGCTGCAGTTTTTTTTTTTAACTCTAGTGTCAGCACGCCTCTGGCGAGACAGTGTTTCTTCTTTTTTTTGGGTCTCCCTGCCTCGGTGGGAAACAGCCGATGTGTTAATTATAAAAAATCTAAACATCTACTAAAACTCTCATATATGTTGAATTATTATATTAATTTAGACTCTTGATTATGTTAGGTGACTTTTTTTGCATTTAAATTTTGTAGATGGGAGTAGTGTATATTTGAAAGGTTTATTAATTCGTGTGTGTATTCGTTTTAATGCACTAACTCTCCTTCATGTGCGTTGATGCTGGTGGCTACAGATCCCGCGTTGATGCCTGAACTCTACTTATCCGACACCATCATCAATGGGCAGGTTGCCGAGCCAGGTAGGTCATCACTGATACAGGTCACGTATATTCTCGTGTCAGTTAGTCATATATCATGAGTGTCAGGCTAGTCACGTGTGTCACCTGTCAGTCAAGTAAATCAACTGCCACAGCCTCACGTTCCACACTCAGGGTGAGGCTGTTTAGGGTGAGGCTGTGTAGGGTGAGGCTGTGTAGGGTGAGGCTGTGGAAGGTGAGGCTGTGGAAGATAAGGCTGTGGCAGGTGATGCTGTGTAGGGTGATGCTGTGTAGAATGAGGTTGTGTAAATGATACTGTGTAGGGTGAGGCTGTGGAAGGTGAGGCAGTGGAAGGTGAGGCTGTGGAAAGTGAAGCTGTGAAGACAGGCAAGATGTTGAATTATACAGATACATAATTCACAGGACTCAGCAGGAGTTTTAATACCGAGGCACAGAATCATAAAGTCGCATGTGGTCTTCAGGGCTAATATTTCAGACATGTTCTCGCAAACGAGGTAACTTATTTACAAACATCAGTCTCAGACCAGGACAGTATTCGAACCTGCGCACTGTGCACCAACTCACACAGTACTTATACCACACAGCCAGACTCCAGTTAAGATTGAGCTTCTAGTAGAGGCCAGGCGTTGTTACCCATACCCGGGTCCGGTGAAATGTTGACCTAGAGAACATATACTATGTGCTAATACCTTTACATGAATGTAATATCTAAAAAAAAAATGTAACTATATCCAGTAACCAGGATCCATTGTGATATCGGTAATCCTGTCCTTTGCGCTACCGCTAACAGGATGAGCTCAGGGTGTGCGATAATTTATTATTATTATTATTATTATTATTATTATTATTATTATTATTATTATTATTAGTAGTAGTAGTAGTAGTAGTAGTAGTAGTAGTAGTAGTAGTAGTAGTAGTACATTTATAAATAAACGACAAACTCGCTCACGTTACACAGAGCAGCAAGGAACTGATAAATATAAGCGAACAAACAGCTTACGAACTATCTTACATGTGTGACAGTTTTTCTTGCACGACAGGGTCGACCCCTTGGCTCATCTCACTTCAAGATACCCAGTACGACCGTCCAGTGCACTTCTGCGGTGCTACACTACTCAACCACTTCTGGGTCCTTACCACTGCCTCGTGCGTGGTCAGCTACTGGGATGGCTTCGACATCATCCAGGTCACACATCTAATCGGCTTACTGTAACTAAGGAAAGTTATCTACAGTTCGGGGCATTTCTTAAAGGAAACGTTTCTCCACCAGTGGTTTCTTCAGTTCAAAGGAGCCCCCTGGAGTTTACCTGGAGAGAGTTCCTGGGGTCAACGCCCCCGCGGCCCGGTCTGTGACCAGGCCTCCTAGTGGCAAAATATGCTTTAACGAATGTCCTGAGCTGTACATGTGTATCCCTTACCAATTATTACTCACTAGGAGTTTTCTGTCTATTTATATACAAATCTTTGTGAAACAGGCACGTATGCAGCACTTTAAGGCATTTGTTAGACGTTTTGCTCTCTAGATCCTTTCTGTCTAAGTGTTGATATATATAGTGGACAGTGCTCAGGTTTAGTTGAAAATTAGGATAATTAATGTTTACCAGAAACCCGCACTTAGGAGAAGAATTTTGTGGTGACGTTTTGGTTCATCCTGGATCACTGTTAAGTTAAAACTGTTTTCAGTTATGACTTGGCAATGATTCAGGAGGGACCGAAACGTAGTCATGATTTATGTCTTTTTTATTCATTTATTCTGGAAACAATACAAGATCAGTTCTCTTATACGGACAGATTTCAGATCATATGTTATATGCCAGAAACACCTAGTGGGCGTAATATTTCCTAAGTGTCCCAATAAATTGCATACGTGCTCATTTACCTATTATAGGTATAATAACATACAATATGCTTAGCTCATGGAAAGTAACCTACACGCAAATCATTTCCCCCGCTTCTCTTACTGCCTGTTAAGTCTAATGTACCACCATCCAGTGCCAACAAACAGGAAGGCTGGTATACGAACGGGTTAGGTTAGGTTAGATAAGGTTAGTCAGGAAACAGGACAAGTGTTTCGTGACGCGGGTCTTAGTCATATGATGACCCACAGCTTGAGTTTTTGGTCATGTGACCAAGGACTAGCGATATTTTGGAGATTGTTACTCTAGAGACGACACCATCTAATTCTAGTTGTAATATTAATTGTTACTTAACATTTCAACAGAAGTCACAAGATCGGAACATAGTTAGTAAATTTTCAGATGTATTTTTAAATATTCCGGGATTTCGGGAGCTCGATACGACATAAGCCGTTAGTGGCCCTATATACCCTGATAACACAATGACTGTGGGGAGGGGGCGGAGACCCCCGAAAGTGTCTTCAGGTAACCAACTTGTCCCGTTTTTCTATCGGTCCCAGGTCGTGGCTGGGGAGTACGATCTGGATAAGGAGGAAGGGTGGGAACAGGTGCGCAGGGTGTGGAAGATCGAGGTACATCCGAAGTATAAAGACTTAACCCGCGATTTCGATGTGGCTCTGATCATGATGAATTTCCCGGTGTTCTTCAACGAGAGGATCAACCCTTTGCCACTACCCACGAACAGGCCGCTCTTGTGTCAACAAGGCATCACCTTTTATGAATATTCTTATGGTAACGGTGAGTAAAGCTTTTCAAGCTGCAACATTGGCTGTCTAGCATATAAACTTTCCCTAGGATATATAGGCCTGCACATATTTTTATTATTATCATTTTAATTATTGAGAAGTGACGTACCTTAGGGGCCATAAAGAGCTCAGGAACAAAGAAGTATCCAGGTCTCATTCGAGGAAGGATTAAGAGCACAAATAGAAAGCGCGTTTAACTGGTGCTCAGCAGACGAAGGATCCACATGGATTTAGCGCTTAACATGAATGATTAAATTATTAAAATTCACCAGCAACGAGGAACCCCTCCCTAAAGAAAAAGTATGAATCTTTAATAACATCTTCGGGAGTTGCTGAGAGACTAGAACGCAGAAAGTCAGAACATTATCCAGTAGCTATACCACAGTACACTGAGGATCACCATGTACAGCAGCACCCAACATGCTACATTACCATAGACTTGTAACGCTGATATAGCCACTGACTGTGTCGCTGTTTGGAGGGTGAGATGGGGTCTCTGTAAAAATTTGAATCGAGCCGCTAAGTTAATATTTCGGTCAACACTACAAT